TGATTCGGGCTTTTCCTTTGCTCCACCCGGGCCAATTTGACTTTTAGTACAACACGAGTACATGTACATAGATCGTTTCTCCCGGATGTAGTTAGTGCACCCAGCCGGCTTATCCAGATCAACTTTTAGCATCGATCCACTTCTTGGCAACCCCGCACCTCTCCATGACTAAGAGCTGGGGATGAACACTTTTAATCGGATCTCCGTAACTCAATTCTTCCTGATATTCTTTGTGTTTTTGCCGTTGTTGTCCCAAGTTGACGCCAACCCGCCTGAGCACGATGTCTCGAACAGCGGTCCTCACCCAAACCGCAGCGTCGCCCCCGGATGTCCATGACTCGCCACATTTTCTAGTTCAGTCTCAGCTAGATCATGACTCTCGTCGAGGGCCCGGGTCCCAGAGCTCATTATCTCGTGAATATGGCTCTTCTGAGGATATCGGTGATGACCAGCGCACAAATTTGTCCCGGACCCGTGCGGTCATCCTGATTACGACCTTGACGGGCATCACATTTGTGGGCAGCATGAGCACGGGCCTGTTGACTATTGGGCTGCCTTGGATCGCAGCAGATTTGGGGCTGCCAGAGAATCTGCTCTTATGGTTAGCAACTGCCGACCCCTAAACAACAAATCGATTGAAGATAGTCTGACTTTAGGCGCCGCTTACTATCCAGGCCGTCATCTGTCTACTCGTGAGTTTTGCACACTGAGTCCAGGACTTCAAGTATGCTAACTCTTTATAGACTTGCCAATGGATGCTGCCTTCTTCTCGCGGGATCCTTGGCCGATTTTATGGGCAACCGAATGATTAATCTAATTGGATGTTTCTTACTGGGAACCTTCACTCTGGCTTGCGGTGTAGCTCAAAACGGTATACAGCTGATTCTGTTCCGCACTTTTCAAGGCATCGCAACCTCCATGTGCCTGCCTACGGCATTTAGTATATTGACCGACTCCATGCCAGTGGGTAAACGACGAAATATCGGATTTGCCTGCCTTGGACTGGGACAGCCGTTTGGTTTCTCAGTAGGATTGGTTTTGGGTGGGCTTTTCCAAGCAACGTCTCTCAAGTGGAGATTTGGGTATTACCTCTGCGCTGGTGTCACCATGGGCTTGGCCGTGGTGAACTTTTTCAAATTGCCGAAAGATTCTGCGAGAGAACCGTTCACGTTTGAAAGACTTCGCCGGGAGATTGATTGGATGGGAATCTTCCTGTCCAGTTCTTCTTTGGGAATGATCTCTTATGTGTTTGCGTGAGTATACCTCCGCGTCTTGCCCGTATACCAAGTTGATGAAAATCTCCGTACAGCGCCATCACTGATAGCCCATCAAATATTCACAAGGCTGAAAACATTGCCCTCCTCTGCGTGGCAGCAGTTATGATGCCCGCATTTCTAAGTTGGATGAGTTGGCGCGAGAAGATCGGAAAGTCGGCTTTAATCCCGAATTCGCTTTGGCAAAATACCGCATTCAGCTCTATCTGTATTATGGTCCTGTTCTCATGGGCTGTGCTAAACGGCATGGAGACTATTCTCAGTCTATTGTGAGTTTAAATCATTTTATATGCTAACGACGAGTTCTTCTGCTAACCTGCAGAGCAGCTTTCAAGAAGTTCAAGATCTGCCTGCCATTCAAGCGGCCCTTCGATTCCTCCCCAGCATTATAATCGGCATCATCCTCAATCTTGGAACTGGTTTACTGGTGCATCGTCTTCATGCGAATTACCTAGTGCTAGTCACCTCAGTTCTCAGTGCAGGATCCCCACTTCTAATGGCCATCATTGACCCCGAGTGGTCGTGGTGGTATTGTGCCTTTTGGGCTATGCTGCTGGGACCCCTCTCGGCAGACGGTGAGTATCTTTTGTCTTGTTTTGACATGATAATATTGCTGACGGTCTGTTAAAATAGTCATCTTTACTGTGGCAAATTTAATTATTACGGACGCCTTCACGCCCAAAACCCAGGGCCTGGCTGGCGCGGTCTTCAACGTTGTTGCTCAGTTTGGAACCTCCATTGGACTTACCATTTTTGCCATCATCTCTGCTGGTGTGACACAAGGTTCTTCATATGAAAACAAAAAGTCACCCGAAGCGCTCATGTTGGGCTACCGCGCTGTATTCTGGACTTGTTTCGGATTGATGATGGCTGCATGCTGCTTTGGCTCCTGGGGACTACGCAAAGTTGGGAAGGTTGGTTTGAAGAGGGAGTGAGGACGTATCCTAGAAGCCGCCATCTTATCCTGGGACCGAGTGATGGTTGATTGTTGATTGTTGCTTGAGTAGGGAGGGACGATTGTGTTTGGTTGACGAGACCAGCGAGCTAGGGGGTGGCTATTTTTAGATGAAAAATGATACAAAATATTACATCTCTCGTTCGTTTGAATTTTACCGTTGGAAACCGAAACATGATCTAAAGTACGAGGGTAACCGTATCTGGATAAATTGGATCATGTGATTAGGGTTTGAAAGAGCTCGTCGGTCTTCCCGACATGGAAGGCGAACCTGGGTGGCACTGATTCTGTATCCAGATCTCTTCTTATTCTATTAAGAGTACTGAGAACTGGAGCTTTATCTTTACTAAAATATTTTTTCAAATTCTGTCTTAAAAACTCTATAAAATCTTTATATGTCCGGATATCTAGTAGTAATACAGTATTTTTGTGATTTGTAACAAAACTGGTATAATAAATAGTTGTTAGTAGATTTAGATTAGATATTATATATATATTAAAGTACTTAAGAGCCCGGTTATATTCTCTTTTAGTATAGTTAAAAACAGATCTTTATATTTTAGAATTATTGTAATTATCGAGATTAATTATCTTGAAGCCTTCGGGTAGTATAGTAAGTTACTCAAATTCGATACCAGAAAAGAATATTAATTAATAGTAGAGATGTTTATAATAGTCTTAAAAAAAAATACCCGAGTAGAGAGTAAATATAGAATAAGAAAAGTAATAGACTACACTCTACTTATTCCTATTGTAATCTGTTTAGTATAGAAGTAAAAATATACTTTCTGATTCTTTGGGTAAAGAATATTCAGGTCCCTGAACAGTACTCTGAACTGCTGCTAAGAGCGGCGAGACGCCCACGACTCGCCTTGGGTAAGCACGGTTATATTAACTAATGCTGTTGTATGTTTCTTCTTATGATTTTTTATTTTTTCCTTCGGCAAACGGGGAGGTGAGATTGAGATCTGCAGCACTACGTTGGCCGACGATCTCTGCCCGATTCGCAGTGTTGGGAATTTATATAGCTCAATAATTCATTTGTCTTCCAACTTCCCCCCACATCAACTTAGAGTTGTGCAAGGACTGCAGCCACGCATATTGTCATTTATTGTAGTCCACGTTGTGAGTGACAAACACCTTGTAGTATTTATAATGCCTCGGGGCCTCATTTCCAGTCGACACACCTTTGCGACACTTAGCCCTAGGCTTTCCTAGCGTCTAGACGGTCTGACGACGGACTATCACGCTTGCAGGGGTCTGTCCCCCTGGGATCCCGGACATATGAATGACCTTCGTCTCCCGGCGTGAGGGTCGCCGTCCAATTTTATTTCCTTACTCTTTGGTTCCTTTTCTGGGCCCTGACCACGAAGTGACGGCACTTCATGGACTCCGACACCGGTAGCGAACAACTACAACAAGGCAGAAGATTTGTTCAGAAGCTGGCAAATTCCTTAAGGAGTCTCTTATATCTCCCCTTGAGATACTATGATGACTCCGTCGCCGAACACTATGAGCAAGAACGACAGTTCGCAACCGACCGGTCAGCCATCCCCCGATGCACAGTAGGTCAATCCATTGTCTATTTCTTTTCTCCTTTCAGCAAGCGACAACTAAAGTTGCCCTCCTTAGCTAAACTGTGTCTATTATCAATTTTTGGACCACAACTGCGCATACTCAGATTATGCATGTATCTGCATGCAGCTTACATCAATCCGTACAGAGCTGGAGCTCGAATCCTGTGCTAAAGCCTGCCCGCATAATCAGGACCAACAATGTTAGTACAGCATAGCCCATACATCATACCCTGGTGCAGTTCCACTGACGAGTGTCCTCTAGGGACACCGGCGCAAATTCTCGATTTATGCGATCAGATAGACACAAAGCCAGTTCTCCTGGATGATATGGCAATTCATGCAGTGCTTCATAGAAGGCAAACCATAGAAACATCTATAATCACGATCATCGGAACTGAGACGGGGCCGATAACTGCCGTCGTAACGCAGACCTCAACCGGGTCTGACCCGCAGGACACGACGATAACGACTACGAGTGATGCTGCCGAGACGTCTCATATCAGCACATATAGGGAGGCACCAACAATAACGACAGTCGAAACACAACCGGCCACACCAAGAACAACAGCGATAACGTCAGAAATGACCGGAGCACAGGATACGTCGTCTGGCCTTTCGACGGGCGCTAAAGTTGGAATTGGCGTCGCAGTGCCTTTGATTGTGATTCTGTTCGTTGCCTTGCTATGGTTCCTGCGCTGGCGAAGGATGAGGAACAAGCCTCTTGCGCGTGAGTCTGAAGTTGCAGAGTACCAGCGTTCCGTGGGACCAATACTAGGGCGCCATAGTGTAAAGGAGGGCATGCCGTCGGAAATTGATGGAAATCCCATACATGAATCGGGGGGTCGTGCTATTGAGCATCCTCTAGGACCGGTCTATGAGTTAAGCGGACAACCTATTGGTTCACCGCACAGATTGGCGGTGTTACCATTGTCTGAGGGGACAGGAAGGTCGGTACAAAATATTAGGGAGGTTGGGCCGGGGCCTGTGGGGAGTTTGCAGGGACAGCCTTCTGGGGATGGTGATGTCCAGGATCATGATCTGGCAGACATACGCCCGTCATCTGGCCCTGAAGAAAGCGGTGATAGAGAACCAGCTACTCAATATGAGAACATGGATATTGAGAGCTTAGAGGACGAGATTGTGAGGGTCAGAAAGAGAAAAGAAAGAATACAGTATCTTCAGTCACTGGAGGAACAAGAGGAGTCATTGAAGCAAGCTATTGCGAGGAAGAAAGGAATGCGTGTGTAAGTATTGGACAAGGCCGTATAATTATGCCACCTTCATGTTAATGATAATCTAATTTATGCCAATGTATTGGCTTTGTTTTTGTCAACAAGTCATTGCTACTGTGTCTCATGTTCTAGACAGCAGGGTGAATCGGGTGATTTATACATAACTTGATCCAGAGAAATCTGGCTTTGAGAAGGCCCATATAAGCGCCAATGCCTGACTTGTGTACTGCTGATTCTGGTGAAAATTGCTCAGAGTCGTAAGGAATAACCTCAGAGTCAACATTGAGCAGCGAGAAGCTAACAAAGGGGCCAGATAAGTACGGCGTTACTAATGCTGCTGCTGTACGCATTTTCATTTGTCTTTCATAATTTCCTCCAAATTGATCCAAACGGTTTTCTTCGGAAAATAAAATGGCCAGTCGAGCTTATGGACACCTTGGGAAGATGTGGGAATATTTCATCAACAATCCTATGCCACGTTCTCTTTGATCTTGATATATGAAATATGTGATATCACTATCTCAAAGTAAAACTACATGAAACAGCATTCCGTCCAGGCCATGGTATTGTGAATGACCCCGAACCCTGTTCCACGACCATCTACTATCAGAAAGCCACTTTGCTCCACAATAACCCCGGCATCTCGAAAATCAGCGTGGTAATCAGGAAAGTGCAAAAAGCAACACAATACCAATAATGACGAGGCCGAACACTACCAAGGAGAGGTTGCCTCCCCCACCTTGTTTCCGCGGGGGAGGAACCCCTTCTGGTGAGGAAGGGTCATATGGGAAGGCAAAGGTATTGTAGTTTTGGGCCTCTGGGTCTGGGTCGGGGTTGGCACGTGGGGACACTATGGTGGGTTTCCCGGGGTCGGTGGGCGTGTCTTGATGCTTCTAGAACGGTCAATATATACATCTTGAATCAAAACTTGTGATTTCAGCAAGATGAAGACCTACGGTGCTAGAAGAGAAAGGGCTCGCCATGATCCATTTATGTGGTGATCCATGTTACTTGGTAGGATGGGTTTCTTCATGAATTAGTAGTAGTTTATAGGGCCAGTTCGGTGGGGCGTCCACGTGGCTGCTGGTTCATCACCTGAGACCTTAGATCTACAAGCCAAGAATACTTCTCGCCTGATGACCCGGTAGTTCATAGTTCACCTGACTGCGATCTCTTAGTAATCTGCATCATGAGGTAGCCTGTATGGGTAGAGATCATCGTCCTAGGTTCCTGGTCCTAGCCTGCCTGTCTTTTTAGCAAGTCGTAGGACCACGCGCAACCAGGTTGTCCGTAACCTAGGTTATAGCATCCGCGTCTTCTGTTCGATGCCACTCTTACCAGCTAGGATGTTGTATGCGTGTAGTTCTCGGGGTGGCCACCTATGTCAGGCGAAACGAAAGGTACTATCTCTCGCCTATTTCGAAGGTTGGCTGACATGGGCTAAGGAGCTGAAATATAACTGGCAGTCATTAATGTAGAAATGTACGTATACTGCGGTAAACTGCCAACTGTGTACAACATGGACATACGTCTATTCAAACCAATTCCGGAATCTACCAAGCTGTATGACCACCGTCAACAACCACAGTGCTGCCAGTCATGAAGCTCGAAGCATCACTCATAAGCAACAAAGTAATGCCCCTAAATTCCTCCGGTCTCGCTAATCTCTTCATCATATTTTCAGACTCCCAAAGCGCCCTTGTATCCAGATCCTTATCCATAACCATCTTCGCCATCGGCGTTTCAATATGCCCGGGACAAAGACAGTTTACGCGGATCCCCCCCGTGCCATCTGCTTTGGCTTCAGACCACTCCATGGCCAGACTTCGCGTTAACTGGATCACCGCCGCTTTCGACGAATTATAGATAGCAGACGCCATCCCCTTGTTCGCAACGATGCCGCTCATACTCGCCACGAGGAGGATCGAGCCGTGGCATTTCCAGTCTAGCATTACTTTCGCGGCTGAAACGGCACTACGAAAGACGCCCGTGTAGTTGATGTGGATGACATCTTCAACATTCTTGGGTAGGTGGTCGATTGCGCTAGCGACGTGGTTTATACCTGCGGCAGCAATCAGCCCGTCGAGGCGGTTCTTCTCTGCTGCAATGTCGGCGATGACAGCTTCGGTATTTGCGTCGTCCGTCACGTCCATGCGACGGTAGTGTAGTGAGCCCCCGAAGTCCGGGTTTGCGCGTGCTTCAGCAGCGCGGAATTCCTCGTCTGGCTCAGGTAGTCTGTCCAGGCAGTAGACTATAACAGGTCAGTATTGGACTAAGAAATAACAATTGCGAATGCATACCTCGTCCACCAGCTTCTACCAACGCCTCGGCCATCGACAACCCCAGCCCCCGTGCTCCACCCGTCACGGCAAAAACTTTGCCTGCAAGTGAGAACTCCCGGAATCGCTCACGGCTCTTCTCAGTACTTGGCAGTTTCTCCTTCAGATGCGCTTGACCAGCCATAGGCCGTTTTGCCGTACATGTTGCGTAGCCGACCGGTGGTCTAACAACATCCCACCTCAAACTTGTGGTAGCAGGAGCACCTAGGCGTGCGTGTAACCAGGCTATTCCAAGACGTCGCGACATCATTTTAACTCGTATCAATCAACTAACCAGCCCAATCTCTCTCAGGTGCAACTGTTCCTCCCACCGGATAATGAAGAATGTATATTTTTGCTTTCAAATAGTACACCACAATGCACAAGATAGCTGTATTCAGCGGACAGCAGCCGCCAATCCATGCTGGGAAAGTTTGGGGAGGCTTTAAAATAATACGCCAGGGGTGTTACGTATCCGTCATTATTTCCGAATGCCATAGTAGCCTGGCGGCTGTCACTTCCAAGTCTTTCAGTGGGCCAATGAGCTCCAGGTAGTGACATAGAAGGGTAGTCAAGATGATGTAAATACGTATGGATTGTCGAAGGCTCAGGCCTGGCGAGCATAAAATACATTTGATGTGTCAAGATTAGCTACGGCGTAGTATAAAACACTAGGGAACTATAAGCACTGGGTAGAATACGAATGGGCTTATACGGTTATACTTACTTTCGTAGCCCTAGGTAATGGTACGTGGCATCCTTTGGTAGATGACGTCATCGCTCGACGTACTCAATCGTCCAAAAGCAGGGATATTGAGTTTCAGGATCAAAGAGACGACGCCAAACTATAACTGGTCTGCTATTAGTGGAAGCTGCCGGGAGTCTAGTCAAGGTAAAGGTAAATAAGCCTGCAGATCTTTGGTGGCAGCATTGCGATTCGTGAACCATGTTCGGTGGATGGCTGAGAAAGTCCATCCAGTCACGAGATGGCAGATGCAATTCTGGTCTCTGATTTAATTAACGACAAACTGGGTAAGTTAGGGTTCACTAGCTTATGTAAAATTTGAGGCCAATCAACCTTCCGCTTTCCAAATGGCTACATACCCAACGTTTGGAGGCTATATATATTTAAAAAAAAAAAAAAAAAAAAAAAAGTTTCCTAATCCGCCCTCGCCATACGCCCACCTTTCATATCCCTCTATAGATATCAACCATTAAATGATTTTCAAGAATGATCGATTCTTGAGTTCAGATCTAGTCTTTAATTCTCCAGGTATTCCGTATCTCCAGCTTGAATAGGGGGTGGATTGGAATCAGTATGCATATTCAAATGGAAGTGGCTCCCAAAATATTCCCTTCTTTGTGATTCTGTGAATCATAGAAGTGCTAAACGTTCAGCTGGTCTACATTAGTGCCGTATAACCATTCATTATTCTGTGTGATTCAACCTAGTTATTACCTCTTCTAGGCATCTCGATTGATATTTGATAGATATATACCCTGTTGTAAGTTTAACAATGCCATACCTACTGCAGGGTCAGTAATAAACATGAATTGGGTCCAAAAATAGCTATAAATAAGCTAATTGCGGATCAAATAGGCAGTAGCATAAATTCCTGGCCAGAAACTGGAAATAGTTTTTCAAATCTTACATTAAGTGTATACTGGAATACAAATGTTAGTCTATATGGCAGCGGTAGTTATGCATGTGCTCTGGATACATCCTTTCGGCATGTGGGGTCATCTTCCACTCATAGAACCCTTCTGATAAGCGATTGGTCGCCTTGCCATTAGGTGTGTGTGTCCAATAAATAATACTGTGGCTGGGCAAAAGCAGTACTTACATGATGACGGAGACCTATTCTTATTGGGACGATCTCATAACTGTACATGGTGGGTCATTTCTAGTTGCTGACAGTGCCGAGGAGATACTACGCCAGTCAATGCAGTGATAGCATTGACTGGCAGAGGAGCAGAATTTACTTCTACACTATTTATCGATCAGCGTGAGGCTGGTTCCTCGTCGTGCCTGACCGTATAGCTGAATTTCTCGTCCTTGGCTGGCTGAATGTGTTAGCTGGCTAAGTGGAGACATTGTGCATATCCTAGTTGCAAGACTAAGCTGCACAATGCCGATCGTAGCTTTGGCGGCCCAGGCCGCATTCAGCTGAGCCTTACTGCAGGTTAGCCAGCCGACCCAGAGTAGCCATGGCCCTGCAGAATGCGGACATCTGCTGGTACTGTGGATCTGCCTATTGCCCGCCCAAACTCAGACCTGTCACATAACGCTACTAGATCGCAAACATATTCGTTTCATTGGGCCTATTAGAGCTGCCTCCCTATGGCATGAGTTAGTGCGTGGGTCGCATTCAACACCTGCCGAGCTTGCACAGCTGCCGCCAAGGGAGGTTTCGCCGGCGTCTGGCTGCAGCACATAATGCGGTCCTCCACTCGTCTGTCCGAAAGTGTAGTTCTGCGTCTCGTCCGCAGCAGCTTGACAATCCTTAATCCTCGTGCTTTGAACTCGCCATAGCTAGTCCTCAATCCCCGCTGGATAGCTTGCCAGACGTGAATCGAGTGAAGCTATATGTATAGACATGTGTATACGATAAGAGATAGATTTGGCTGCCTGATTGACCACCACCGTGGGACCAGATATTTCACCCCACTGCGAATTCCAGCTGACTCTGTGCATGGCGTCTTGGCACAGGGTCTTTTCCGCTGTTGTAAATGACTGGATTCTCGTAGCAGATCTTACCAATTCCTGCCTGTAGAAGCTAGCAGTGCCCCTCTCGTTGTCAATCCCTCTGACGCCGATCGGGCTTCTAAGGCTAATTCGAGATGGGTTCATCAGGTCCAGGGAGAACATTATAAATGGTAGTCTAAAGAATTTTATATACTTATATTGACCACCGGCTTTCGGCTTACCACTGACCTTTTACCATAATTTTTCAATCACAATGTTCTTCAAAGCTCTGGCTAATGCCACCGAGTTTAATACCAGACTAGGAGTCGGGGCACTTGAAATCGCGCGCCGTACCCAAAATGGTGTTTCCAATGCTATTGGAATCAAGAAAGTACTACCATCTGCAGTCCAGAAACTCACCAATCGTGTTTACGACACAAACAAGAACATTGTACGCCGGGTTGGATATGGTAGTGCTAAAATATTGCGACGTATTGAGTGAGTCGTGAGGACTTAACGCAGCTTGATCTGGGATCTGATTTTGTATAGCCGAAGGTTTCACGGTAGACGAAACAGAAAACGCCAGGCTTATGGAAGACGCCAGCCTAATAACAAACGTCAGGCTTACAAGAGACGCCAACTTAACAGAAATCGCCGACCTAACAGAAAACGCCAACCTGATCTATCGGCTGAAGACTACTACAAATCAAATGGGGTAGGCGGGATCGCTACTTTGTTCAGGGTTGGAGAAGTGAAGCTAATCGATCTCTCAGAAAAATCAGGAGGACCCACCAAGTAGTTCTGGTCTCTATCATTCCCAGAGCGCATGCCCTGACCTCCCAGATCATCGCGACCATATCTACGAAGCTGAAGACTGGACTCTGCGGCGGCGTGTGGACCTCAGGTCTTCTTGCCCACCGGTATACGACCAACTCAAAGCAGGGAGTTGTGTTGCCAACGCCATCGCTGGTGCATTTGAGTTTATCTCTATAAAGCAAAAATCACATTTCTCACCGTCAAGGCTTTTTATTTGGTACTATGGTCGCCAAATGACCCATCCTAATGACCGCGATGCAGTCCTCAAAAATCTTGGGATGTCATTCCGAGAAGGTATTAAATCCCTTGCCAAAAATAGTCACGGCGTGTGTTCAGAACACGACTGGTCATATGAGATTGCCGAGTACAATCCGAAGACGAAATACTTTGTCCCCGGGGCTAAGGCGGCAAAGAAGCCACCTGCTCGGGCACAGAAACATGCTCATCAGCATACCACAGTCAAATACTTTTCATTTCCTGGAAAAGAAAAAAAAAAGCTCAAAGACAGCCTTGACAAGGGGTATCCTTTTCTTTTTCTGCTGGTACCACATGATGGATTGAAAAGAATTGGTGGTGACTATGGCTACACACTGAGTATGTTGGTATTTCATATCGATTGCAATTACATCAAATAACTGATCTTTTCGCAGAGATGCCAACGCCTGATGAATTAAAAAAGTGGAAGGGACGTCACGGCCCCTTAGCGGTTGGTTATGATGACGCTGAAAAAGTCTTCATCGTTCGCAATTCATGGGGGGCTCACTGGGGTGATGGTGGGTACTTTTACATGCCATATGCATACCTCAAATACTGCAGTGATATCTGGACTATTCGTCTAGTGAAGGGTTAATCCCCTTGTTCTACAGAGGGATGGTCATTAGTCAAGGTTGCGGGCCTCTGTGCAAATACCTCAGTCGACAAGTCCCGGATTGCCCATTCTTGCAGAGCAATGCTCTGAAAGAATTCCGAATGATCAGTCGGAGCAGAGACATCAGCGTGGCAAAGGAGGTAATTGATGACACTCTGTGTGTCTGGGGTCTGATGCCGGATGCTCTCTAGGATATGAGTTGAGAGATATATACGTTCAGGTGTATAATCTACTATCTACGTAGCACACTAATATTCATGATGACAGCTACGACGACTTCTCCAGGAAAAGAAGCTCTTCGAAACAATTAGACGCCCTGATCCAGGGTACCCTCTTTATGTGATTGACGATCGGTAACCGATTCTCAGCCTCAAGGCTCGTCTTCTAGCTCGCTCAGGCAATGATAGTGAGTCTTGACTTCTATGGCCCTGATCGGATTACGAGCGGGAATTTCTGTGGATTGTTATTCTGGCAAAGACCTTGGACTGCGATATACTCGTCTTAGAGGGGAATCCTCGTCCTGTAGAAGACAGGCAGAATACATGCAGTAGCCGCCCAAGATAGAGCTCACGGACCTCTTGCGAAGGAGCCGTAACGACTACTTAGATCAAGACTGGTGAGCCATGAGCCGTGCATGAGACGAGTACTCAGGAAGAAACGAGGCTGTCGCTTGGCATGGAAATGTCTGTGTCGGTCGGAAAATTCGAATTCTTGCCGTCAAGCGTGGAAGGTCTACAGTCGTCCTGATGCAGTTTACTTTCGTAAAATTCTCATAGATGAAGAAGTGCTCAGGTAGTTACAGAGGTACGTTTCTTGGTGGAGCGACATTATTCGTTTCCCACGTAAGACTTCTAGCCCCACCACTACCTTCTTCGAAGCCACCAATACAGTATCCCAAGCCCCAAAGCACTTAAAGCCGTGACCGGTGCGAGCCAATAAGGCAAACTGGTATTTGTACCCCCTTCCTCTGGGGCCAGAGATGGCGATAGGAGAAGGTATAGCTGGCACGTCAAGAAGATATAGGGCACCACAGTCCACACACGGAACTGATGCCTGGTCACCAAGGACTTTCGACGAAGCCGAAAAAGGCCTATTGCGACGAAGAACCCAATCATGGCGACTTCATATTGGCTCAAATCCACTAAAAATATGTATGCATCGCCTACACCCGTTAGCATGCACATTAGATAGGGGAAAGGTAGGACATACCAAAAGGTACTATACTGATGGCTACCGCTGTAGAAAAGAACATGAGGAAGAACGCGGTAGAGGGTGTTCCAGAGGATGTTTGCTTGGCAAATATACTGGCCAGCTGGGATTGCCCCTTCCCATGCAAGGCGCTGAACGACTCGCGAGAAGGCGAACGCAATGGTCATCAGGCTGGCAAACGAGGACAGGGCCGTGAGTGCGGCCGTGGTTTGTCGGATACCGCTTCCAAACACCTTTCCCAGGAGAATTGCGACGACTTGTACCCCGGCATGACTGATTTCCTCCGGCGTAGCCACAAAAACATAGCACACATTGGCCAGCAGGTACGGGACACCCACAGCTCCCACACCCAGGATACCACTCAGTTTTAATGTCCGTTGTGGGTCTTTTACTTCGTCCAGGACATAGGCAGCATTATGCCACCCGTTAAATGTGGCGAGGATCTTAAACAGGGCAACCGTGTATGCATAAGCATCAGTGGAAGACCCTGCAAAAGGGTGTTGGAAGCTCCGCCCTGGGTCTGGCACGCTCGGTAGGAGACCACAGACGGCAGCAACGCCCGTGAGAATGACCAGGACGAGAATAACAATCTTGATCAACCCAAGCGAGTTCATAATCCGCATGCTCCAGGTGCGCGAACTAATATGGAGCACCGCAATGAGGACGAGCACCCCCATCGAAAGCGTCCGCTTCCCGGCATCTCCGGCGGATACATTCAGCGCCAGAAGGAGATTATCTGCCACCACCACACACGTCAGACCTGCTCACCCGTTAGCTGTCGCACATCGGCAGTACGTAAAGTATAGTAGGGATTACCGCCAAAGGAAAAGAGTACGTAGAAGGCATATAACGTGGTTGTGAGCCGTGCTAGGCGTGGGTAAGCTTGTTCCAGGTAAAGCTTCTCGCCGCCGCTGTGTGGCATCCGACAGCCCAACTCCAACCACACAAACATGCCACAATAGGCCAAGGCAAACCCGACCAGCCATAATGAGAGGATGCCGCCGGTACTGCCAACACTGCGTACGATGGACGATGGGATCGAAAAGATGGCCGCACCGATCATGCGATTTATCCTTGAGACCTGTTGAGCGCTACCACATGTGCAATCAATCTGAACACTTACAGGAGAAGAGCCGTCGATACCAGTCCGGCATGACGTTTCTGATCTATCTTTTCTGTCGTCCTGGCATTGACCAGGGGATCCGTCACGCCGCTCGGCAACAATGACTCTCTGTCGTCATTGTCTTCTGAGTATGAGGACCCCGAGCAAGCCATGTTCCTTCAGATCCAAGTCAGCACACACTCTTAGGCATGTTCGTGGTTGGTGAGCCACGCCTGAATGGAGTGGAGGGGAATAGAAGAGTCGAAAAAGAGACCGAGGAGCGGTGTAAGCGAGCACCCTTACTTACCCAGCCATAATACTGCCACGCACGCATGTCATATTGCTTGCATGGTGATCAGCGTGCATTTATCCCCATATATAACCCATGAAATACTGCCTAGCCTTATCATCAGCACTTCTGTATTTCTCTGCAGGTACATATTTAGGCCTACTTTTATTCCGCAGGAACTATTCTCTCGCGCCACAGTGCCAAGCGGACCCTTGTCGGACATATACCTTCGTAACTGAATATAGTTTGGAGGCCACCGCTGGGTCTGGAATCGTCTTTATCAAGTTCTCTCAGGTCGAGGGAGAACCGACCCCTCAAGCACCCGGACCAGTCTCTTGAGCGCGCCTAGCGTGACGCGTGCTATAGCTCTGTGTTGAACCTGTGGGTACTAAATGCTTCTAAACCGGCTTAGAATGGCAACCCCCAGGTCTAAATTCATGTAAACCTCTAGGCAATCTGCGGTTCTTATTAATGCAGTGTCCCCTCAGAAGACATCGTCCAAAGGCCCCATCCTTGTAAAGCGTCCAGATGCAGCTCTTTCCCAATACTCTGTTCCACAAACTCCACATCCTGCTGTCTGTTTTTCTTCTTTTTATTGCGCTCTTCTACTGCCTTCGTATCCGCTGGCCTGGTATCCATCGGGTTCTGGTACCAGGTAATACCTGAACTAAACCCATAAAAAGGGTAGAAAAGATGGAAATCAGCCTCCACTGAAACCTGCATTGAGCGGGTCAATGGACTCAAGGGCATGTAGTGCAGCAGCTCTCGGCTAAGAAGAACATGGGAAGGTGGTTCCGACATTGCTGTCTGACTTCCCGACACTTGGTAGGGATATAATACAACATCCGCTGAAACACGCCCCATGCAGGAGCGGGTAAGACACGGGATGTACATATATTTTGTATTATCAATGAGTTCTCCTAGCGTACCATGCTCTGCCATATGCCAGTTTCCCTCCAGATGTTGATATCTCTGATCGACGGTCGTACATATGCGATATACTGCTACCGGCCAAGAAAAGCCAAGCAATGGAATACGAGACCATGACTCACATCATGATCATTAAATTACCCGGACCGTTAACTGTTGTTGGGGAGGAGATTTGACAATACAGCTATCTCTCTTGCTCCAAGTAAGACGACCCTATGGAACCAACAGGCATGGAAGGTCAGGCTTTGGCGGCCTGGGAGGACCATGCTAGATCCTGGGATACTACTATGGGTGATGAGGGGAACGACTACTTCTCAGTCCTCGAATTGCCTGCCCTGGAAAGAATGATCAGTGAACAACAGCGGAACCGTGCCTTCGATCTCGCGACGGGAAATGGCTTAGTTGCGAGATGGCTTGCTCAAGAAGGATTCTCTGTGGTTGCGACGGATGGCGCAAGAGCCATGCTGGAACATGCAAAGGCGCGAACAGCGACCTGGTACGAAAATGGAAGGCTGGACAAGGAACGCACGATTTCGTTCGAACTTCTAGATGTGACCAACAAAGATCAGTGGGCGCAATTTATTGGCAGGAGTAACCTTCTGGTTCGTTGTTATTTGAATAATTGGAACACCTTCCACCAGAGCCCCAACTAAAAGATGATACCTGGGCTAACGCCTTACAGAAAGACGGATTTGACGTGGTTGTCATGAACATGGGGATTATGGATATTCCTGATCTTGAACCATTGGCAGTATCCTTAAAGTCCCTTTTGAAGCAAGACGGATGGTTGGCCCGACCTTTATTTGACATACTTATCTGCACTTGGAAACCTGCTCTTCGTTCTGACATGTTTACCTTCCACAGTTTCGTTGCTACTGTGCTTCACCCTCTATTCTTCACGAGTGGCGCAAGGCGCCAAATCACAGTTCATGAGGATCCTGTGACTGGCCAACGCGTAATAGATCGGTCCATACTTTTGAGCCAATATCAGAACGTTGCCCCGGCCCGGCAACTCCTATTTTCTAATGATAGCGAGCATAAGCCGCCGGTACAACTCTTCCTGCATCAGGACTTGCACTTCGATGAACTAATGATAGACTGGTAGCTCTCATTCCACAGGTCGTTCCAAGATCTATTTGCCCCATTCTTTCGGGCAGGCCTCATCCTTGATGCTCTTGAGGAAGTGAACTTCGATGATACCTTCCGCGAACCCTCGCGTGAATACGCCGCTCGGAATTTCACTGAATTTCCTAAAATACTCGCCTTTAGACTCAGACGTGGCTATACATAGGTGTCCAGACTCCTACACGAATTCCAGGCGTTGTTTCAGTGGGTGATCTATTCTGGCAGCGTAACCCTCAAAGGACTTTTTTGATGGTTGGATCAGATCCCCTTTGCAATAAAACAACGGTAGATATAACTCTAATATATGCATGTGTTATATATTGAGGTCTTAGGTACTATAGTATAGGCCTAATTTTCACCACGTTGCGTCGCAGATCGTCATAGTTTCTTCAACCTTTTGGTAAGCAGTTTGTGTGGCTTTACTAGATTGAATCTAGTCATGCTTTAGCCCTTCACCAGTATTAACTTTTCAAAGAAGGACGGAGTGGGTTTCCGTGAAAAAATGGCCTCCTCCAAACATTCCACCCACAGAACACCTCGGCAAGGCCAAAGAAACCTAAGCTGTTTGGATCACTGTTTGGGAACTGTTTAGGATAACAGGGTATCAAAACCAGGAGACTATTCCCCTGTACTCTTCTATTAAGCCCTTCGACCACAAGCCTTCTACTATAAGCCCAAGGCCTTGTTTTATATTTACTACTACCAATATAATGATTAGCATCAGAATCATGAAAGTTGTTTCTCTGAGTAGTACTATGCTTACTGCTACTGGACACTGTAGTCTGTAGCTGGATACTTAACGCTGTCTAGTGACTCTAGTCTTCTAGATCTGTCTTAACTATCTCCGGTCCCTTCGGCAATAAGTATGGCTACTTAGAGAACTTTACTAATAGATAGTTCCCTGAAGGGGCAGAGTTCATGTTATTCTTGATCAAAAATAATCATATCCACACATTCGCTACCGAGGCCCTCCTGAATGCCGTCAACCGCACATAACTGCGTGGGAAAATATCGACTTGGTTAATCACTTGGAATTATATCCTTAGTGTGCTCGCTGTAGGGGCATCTATACATGATGTATCTCCGCTTTTACCTAAACCTCGATCCATTTCAGGAATGCCGGGCTTTCGTAGCCTTCCACGACTTTGGAAATCGGGGTCAGGTATGCGTCGGGATCGTCTTGGTTCTGTTGCAGATGACGAACATAAGCCTGGGCGACTTTCAGCCACAAAGCCTTTTCGCGTTCACTGGCACCCGATCCTTGCCAGACCCACAGTCGGCTACCAACATCGTAGAGGAATACATCGTTTCCGTCAAGGTCCGACCTGCGAACTGGCCCACCATCCTTGACCAGATTAAATGAGGGCGATCCGGAGGCGTCACTGAGCCGGAATAATTTGGATGGGCGCGAGGCGCCGCTCTGATCTTGGGATCGCTTGGAGAATGAGACGGGACGTGGAGCCTGGAAGGAGAGTTGGTCCACCTCCTTGCCACCTAACAGGTCGACGAAGATCTTCGACCGCGACTCCAGTTGGGATAGAACTTCCACATCGACATGTTTCGCCAGCGTCATGTCGTTCACAACTTGAGCGGCCTTGGCCTTTTCCATCGGGCTGCAGGTCTTTCCCTGCCACACCCAGATCTTGTCGCCTTTGTCTAAGACAAAGACATCTTTGTCGTCGAGGCTCTGCCAGGTGGGTTCCACCTCGTACACGATAATCGAGTCAATCCGGCCGGCGCCTGGATGCTTGAAAACACGAAGTAATGTCGTCACCTCCTTGGGTTCTTCTTCCTCCACATGGTTGAAACCTGAAGCCACACCGCCGGACCGGATGGTGATGCGACGGAACAGCGATACGAAATCCTCCGATGGCTGTTGCTGGACTTCACGATGCTGGGTCGCCGCTCCATGCAGGAATTCGTCCAGCTCAACTGTCTTGTAAGCCGCGGTGCCCGCCTCGTCCTGGGTTGTTTTGCTGCCCAGCCAGAAAAAGACATCGTGGCCCAGTTTGTCATCGCCGACTTTGTAGGAGTGCAGCACGATGTAACTGTCCCCGTCGTAGAACTCGCCCGCCCGGCTTTTGGGCCAGGGCACCACCTCGAAGTTTTCAATCCGCCAGATCCACAGCCCAGCCTCCTGTCCGATCTGACCGTTGTTCCAGGCTGGCTCCGTGGCCGCCGAATTGTACTTGACGCGATGGTCCAGATCGGATCCGATCAGCTCCACATTGCTATCCTTGATGTCATATTCCTTGGGGTGTACTAGTCCTTCGTGAGGCGCCATGGTGAGTTCGTTAGTGAGTTAGTTGGAGGTTGTTATGTTTATCTCTGGAGATTTGTTGGCGGGAAATCTTGCCAATGACGCACGCAAGTGGGTCCAGTGGCTGACCCGATGGCGGGGTAATTTTTAAGTAAGAGACTCGAGGAAGGAGGGGGAAAGAGAATGTCCAGGCTATCGAGCTTGAGTACAGCTTGTCTCCAGGTCTTGGGCACCTTGAGAGTCTTGTCTAGCTCATCTCTGATCTATCTTACATGAGGGTGTGACCGTCAGCAAAGAACGTTTGCAGTATAATCACGTGATATGATCAACAAAGATCTTCTGAGAACAATGGCTTGACCATGGTCGTCTTCGATACTTGCATTTGTATGATTGTAATAACAGCGAGAGTGTGAGTCTATACAGGGTACTCAGGGTATCCCTCCTTTTACTTACAGCGTGCATACACGGGACAGATTTGACCTTACAAGGTTCACATGCCTGGACAACCAATATATATTTTCGAGGATGAAGCCAGATATTTGTCGTTATGTTCTCAGACCGGACTACATACAAACAGGCATTGTAGCCGTTCGATACGAGACAATACCCTGCATTGGCCTCAGCCATCTATAGTCATCCAAGTTTGCCCGGAAGGCTGTTTCGCTTCTATCGCCATTCAATTACACAAGTTACGACGTTTGTTTGATTTCCTGGGCAACCACATCCTCCAGTGTCTGCATTGGCGGCTCACCGATTAATGCATTGTCTCGTTGGTCATATAAAGTGCCTCCTTCGGTCCAGATCCGCCTCAGGGTCAGTACCGTAGCTTCAGGCTTGCCTGCGTTCCAAGCCTCCGATTCTGCTTCGCGCAAGTGGGAGAGTGATGTATACTGGACATCATTCCACGGTTGACCACCTGTCTGGCGCACAAACTCGGCATGGATGTCGGCAGGTGTGGTCGTGAACGAATTGACCTTGAGTGCGCGGTTGAAAGCCACGGCGGGGTGTCGTAACGTCGCCAACACGAGAGTTCCAACACTAGAAATCCGAAGCCATTTAGTTCCATTGCAGTGGCTGTTCAGCTATAGCTCGAGAGACTTACTCTTTCATCGTCGTCAAACTCACTCTCGCGCTTCCGTCCTCTCCTAGCAGCGTCGCCTTTTTGCTCTTCACGTCCCATCCACCCGCAATCGGATTACCTGCGAAATGAACATACATGTCGGAATATGGGCCTGTGACGACATATGTGTACGCTAAATCGGACACCACCCCTTCGTTGGGACTCTCATTTTCCAAGAACGCTCGCACCTTTAATTTTTGCTGATGTGGCTTTTCCTGCGCTGAAGCAGGAGAATACTTAATATCTGTGCCATATTCCGAGGGAAGGAACCATTTCACAGTGGGAGAGGCATCAGCAAGGCGGATGAGAGGGATCTGGGAAGCGATTGCGCCCCGGCCCAATGCAGAGATGACGGTATCGATCCCTAGTATACGTCAATATGGGGCTCTCATTCAATCAAGTAGGAAATGTCTTGTTAACCAAGGCATCATAGGCTTGATTATTGATCGATGCTTTCATAAACAAATATGGGTTTGACATGGGGAGCAGTGACGTACCATCGTAAGCTTTTCTCACAACCTCTTCATCCTGCAAGTCACCTACGAGGACTTCAACATTCTTGGTGCGTTTCAAGTCATCCAAGAAATCTTCCTTGGATGTTGCGGTAGCTTGTGAGGTGAAAATAGCAATCCGGTCGAATTCATCCCGCGCCGCAAGAATGGCGTCCAAAATGTATGAGCCGATGTTTCCAGTGGCGCCGAAGAGCAGAATGTTTCTGGGTTTGAAGGAAGCCATCTTGTTATCTGTTTCTTGAGATCACTGTATGTACATGCATGTAGAGGCATGTTTATAACTTCCTTGTATCTCAATGACAATGTAACCTGATTATTAATCCTCCAGACCTTCGAGTGGACACGAGTCCCACTGTCGGTGCGGGGCTTTGTCCAATTAAAAGAATTATACCATGGTGGAGCAATGGCGGAATCGGTGGGAATATTTTACTAACTATGGCTTGGCTTAATCCTTCCGAAGGTTTGGAGCTTGACGCTGAGGTGGACGGTGATAGAACATAGTAAACTGTCACTTATACGTGGTCGTGGAAAATGGCATCAAACTGAACTAGGGATTCTACCCGTGTAAAAATCATGGCTTATACACTACCAAGTGTAAATCCACCTTTCATTCATATGTCTGTAAGTAGGCTCAAGTGCTATCTGGTCTGTGTTTTAAGGCCCTCATGGGGGCTAACCATCCTAGTCAGTCTCAAACCAGAGACGTCGTCGTGGCATTCCAGTCAGAAGCAAACTGTACAAGGTCAGAATCCGTATTCCAATAGGACCATTGCATGACGAGGCTGTCTTACATTCCATGCATCGATGCGAAGCAGTGAAGAGTTGGAAGTCTTCTCCACATTGGTCAAAACACCGATCGCTAAAGTAACCCGTTAGCGAATAAAGACATGCTACAAACTATCTAAGCAACGTACCCAGGACATTGTTCAGCCAGTAATATTTCTCGCTGCCCGTCTCGAAAACCAAGCGGAGATGCAGCTGCCCAGAGGGAGACTTCGGGCCCGAGGTTTGAATGAAGATATTCTCGCCATCATGCGTCCGTAAGTTGTAGCGTGTATCCGCCGAAAACACATTGCTTTGGGGGTCAGTCAATCCCCAGTCAGCACCGACATCGAGAATTTCCCCTGAGGCGGTATTAGCCAGTGATACCTGTGACCTAACATGGGGTCGTTACCTGAAAGATGGGGACCGGTAAAGTTCCCTCCGACAATGGGGATCGCTTTGCGGATTCCATGAGGACCACGCGATTCCATAAGCGTGCCTTCACATTTCACATAGGCAGTGTAGAGGAAGCTCAATTCGGGTGCAGTTGGATATGCTGGTGAAGCCGCAGCTCCATACCCGGCTTGGGAAAGTAGAAGAAGTGGGAAGAAAGCGTTTTTCACGAAGGACAACATTTTGCACGTTCAATGCCAAAAGTAATAAGACATGAAAACCTGGGGTACCCCGCAATTATAGGTATACTTTATATATACAGTGGATCTCGAATCCCGTAAACATTATCCGGATCTGCGACACGGATCCGACTAGTAGTCTATCTAGCGTTCGGCACTTGTTAGTTGGGTGCATTACCATGCGTGCCTCGGTTTATCCGACGCTATTGCATTTCCCGAGAGAAGCTCCACATAAAGCTAACAACCTTGGTGCATGATTCGTGTTGGCATGCTCCTGTTTGATCAATTCGGCATACGAACGCCGCGAAAGCTCCCGTTCAGGTCTAATTGTCATATCCAGTGATTTGATACATGCATTCCCGCTAAACCATGCAATTCCCTCTAGTCATTTCCTTTGATCTCAATCTTAATCAACTACTAAGCAATCCATGACGGAGTTCCTTCCATAAACAACCGTATCTCGTCTCAAAAACTGGCCTTTTCGAGGTTGGATGAGAAGTTTGCATCCTTGAATGGGACATTGGCGTCTCCAAAGTCCGTGTCTTCCAATGCTGTACTCGCAGCAGTAGGAAGACTCTCCCAGGCGATCAGGGGTTGTGTACCGCCGACAGTGGTTGTCAGCCCACATTGATGATTCACGGGCCAGACACTGTAGTATTGAATCAAGGGGCTGGTGCCATCAAGTGTGTAACCGTCTGTCGAACAGTCCCAGCCACCATGTGCGGACGGGCAAACCGCCACGATATTATCAGCGGACGTGGACGTGGAATCGGACAACCAGACAATAACACCCTCCCAATCATGGCGATGACCTAGGCCAGTGGATGGCTCGTCTTTGGGGAAGTACCAAGAGTACATGAGGGCATAATAGTCCCCGGATGTGCCGCCTCTCACATAGATTTGTCCGGTACTGCTAGAACAATTTCCACTAGAGTCCCCCGTAGGCTCGAGGCCGGCACTGTTGACCATGATTAGCAAGAAATGATATCATTTATCACGTACATAGTAACTATCTCAGGAACGGAGGAGTGACTGGGAAACATACTTCGTATTACCCTCGGCATCTACCGCTGGGAATGGCACGCATCCATTGACCACATACAGATCCGGTTGGTAAGCCAGGTAGACCTCACCAGTGGTACCGCTGGGGACCGTCTGGTCGAATCCCACGACGGCATCATGGTCAATGCTTGCGCGAGGGAGCACAGCACCTCGGGCATGAGAGCCTAGAAGAGCGGTAGCCAAGAGGAGCGATTTCTGGTACATGTTGAAAAAGAGAATTAATTGCACAGGTCTGCCGATTCTATTTGTTTAATATGGGTGAGGACCACCTTATAAGTACTTATACGTCTATCAGTATCGTATACAACAACCCCTTGCCCTATCTACGTGCCTCACGGCCTGTAAGTGAGCGAATATGCATCATTTCGGACAAATTGTTTCCGAACTGTCAAAGTACCGAATTCCTTGGCCGAATCCCGGCGAACGTGGCGGATTTGATGATCCTCAGTGGGTGCTTGGCAACTTGTTTAGTTTACTTAAAACACACCATCGGCCTTAGCTTAAGCTCTGCAGAACACAGTCAAGCAGAGATCAGCATTCATGCGTTCATATGCAGAACCTGATAGGTGCACCGGGCCAGCGACGATTTAAATTAAATGAACACATATGACATTGGCTGCAAACTTGTAATATACACATATCATTGTAGCCCTTATCTATCGACCTTGATAAAGCGAATAACCAATAACATCATCATCACGAGTTCGTGTGCATATCTTCATATCGACGGACACTGCAACTGCAGTGCAAAAGTGAGTGGGTATAATCTGGCTAGTAGAATCGGAAATTAAATGTCTAGGTCGTCGTCTAGTCTTCGGTCGCCTTCATAAAAGCGTTGTTATGGTATATTGAGAAGAATCCTGTCATTCGGCACCATGGACCACTCGATAGCGTCTAAACCTGTCTCGCTCAGTCCCGCCGGAGACATGCCATCATCCTCACATGCTATTCGGGAGGCTGGCGTCGCGTTCATAGGTGGGTCAGGGTGGAGTACCGAACATGAGCTGTTGCTGGTTTCCGTAGAGGTCGGTGATGAAGGCAGGGAAAAAAGATATAATTCTGAGCGATAGGATTCCCATCCGCGCTTTGCGGCCAATATCGATTCCAGTAGCATATCCGGCTCCGCTCCGGGGAATAGAAACTTGAAGGCGGATTCGAAGTCCATCAAGCGCGATTCCAAATAACTCACATACCAGCGTTGTAAAGGGCTTCGAACTTGTTTGGAAGGATATGTACAGGGTCGACCAAATGTACTGCAGTCCGTACAAGATGGTCTATCCTTAGAGCACTGCACAACGTCAATCAGACTATAGACGAGCCAATGAACTGGGCAGTGTATACCTTCTGCTTCCGGACTCGGCACTCATTGCACTATAACTTGACGGTTACTTTGCGCTCGACAGAGACTCTTCCAAGGACTTTTGCGTACCGCATAACAACGTGGATCACGACTACTGATCATGTTACGCTTGAAGGGACTCCGTCGATGGGTTTCCATTTTTTTTTTTTTTCTGCTTCGGCGCTCGACTCAATCTGCCTGTTGGTAGGAAATCAATTCATTATAACTTAATATTTGCTCTCGTTAACCTTCTTTTCTTACTCGGCCATATCTCATGATCTACCTTGAACATTGTCCCATAGCGAAGATGAATTACGATTTGTTGTATTCCCATGGAAATCCGAGCGAGTCTCCGGGTAAATGTGGAGAAATCCGACGAGAATCCGCGTCAACCGACATTCCGATGCTTTTCCGATACCACTCTTTGAAGGGAGCTTATGGTGATACCTTGGCGACTTGGATCGATACGGTTTGACGGAGGGAATAAATAGAACTCAAAAAAAAAAAAACAAGGACGGCTGGATGGTGTAGAAAAGCAAAGAGATCTATTGCGCATGATTCTGCCTGTATAGACACGAGCGACGACAGGCTTGTCTGGCAGATGGAGGGCAACGAATGGCCCAAGCAGAGAAACATGCAAGCACCGTTAAGGATTCTGTAGGATAATCGTCGTTTGGGGATATTGCAGGAACCTCCCACGCTCTGGGCAGATCGTATGAATTCAGGATATATCATTCTCAGATCATTTTGCCTCTTCATGACTTGATTGATTTCCTCGGTTCAAACCCGCCTTGGCAGTTCTCGCCTAATTTCGGAAGGTCAAAAAATGGGTTCAACTTCAAGCTCAACGGAAATCGATTGTTCTTAGACATGCAGGGTTCACAAAGCTGACCTGCTGTCGGTCACGATCAGATACACCAGCACCCTATCGCCCCGTCCCTCTCTCTATATCCGTCTTCTGCCCTCTTTTTATATTGGCCGAGTGATTTCCGCTTTCCTTCCGCCCTTCCGGACATGCAGGCGGAAATGTTGGCCAGCGACGACAGCTCGGCGCGGAAGATGCGTAAAGTCACTCGCGCTTGCGATGCATGTAAGAGAAAGAAGAAAGCCTGTACTGGGAATCTCCCCTGTAGACCTTGCCTCAAACGCAAGGAGGTTTGTACATACAATACCACCTATAATCGCGGCGTAGCCGTGAGCCCACCACCGTCCTCGCATACGATACATCATGGATCCCTCCAAGCGGCAACACACAGCAACAACTCAGCAGACAGTCATCTATCTTTCTCCTCCCCAATTACCTATACCTCACCAGACAATGTACGGCCGCCTACCTTCCACGATGCGCCCACTTCTGTGGTTTCTCCGCCGTCCATAACTGACACGAGGTATCATGATCATGAGCCCGAGATCCAGCAGACGGAGGTTGCGGATCGGTACTGGGGGCCAACCTCTGCGCATTCCTTCTTAGATCGAGCGGCGTTAGGATTGCCAACTCCTCCATCAAATACGATCGGCGCTTCGCATGATCCAAGTCAGGGTCGGACCACATCCATCTTTCAATTTGGGGATCGCGTGGTGAAGGAAACATGTGTGACCGAGTTCCAATGGCCAGATGTAGAGACGGCGGAGGCCCTAGTTCATCGATACTTCGAGTTTGCGTCGCCGACGCACCGGGTTCTGCACCAGCAGACGGTGGAGGAAACGGTCCAGCGTCTCTACCAGCGCGGACGACCGGACAGCGAACAGATCAGTGGTGTGACGAGTGTAGGGCAAGCCATTCTGCTGATGGTTTTCAGCACCGCCACCATGTTTAAGATGGATGCGAAAGGTCGTATGACGGATGCAGACGAAAACGGCTGGCAGACCAGTGAGTTGTACTTCACCAAGGCAGATCATCTACTATCACGGGAAAGTGGTGCACCCAGATTAGAGTCGGTGCAGGCCAGATTCTTAATAGTTCTGTATCTGCTAAGCTCATCACGGGCCCATCGGGCGTGGTTCACATTAGGAACCACCATTCAACTGATCATGGCACTCGGCCTTCACAGCAGACGGCGGAATAGGGACACGGCCGAAGGTAGTCTGATCGATCAGGAATGCCAACGTCGTGTTGTGTGGTGCTCGTATACGTTGGATAAATATCTGAGCTTGATGTTGGGTACGCCGCGTCTATGGCATGATGAGGATCTAGACGAGAAATTGCCATCGCGTGTGAACGACGAAGATATCTCCCCCGATCGTATCTCGCCGCCAACTCGAGACTGTGTAATGGACGCGGCTATATTCCATGCCCTACTCGCCCGCGTACTATCTCAAGCCGCCAAGGAGCCGTATGTGGTGGCTGGCATTACTGATCAAGAGGAAATCAATACCATCCGAGCTTTGTGCGAGCGAGTCGCGGAATGGCAGGCAGAGTTGCCGCCATTCTTATCCGGCGTCATCTATTCCAGCAGTCTCATTCCCTTGTTCAAGCGACAACTGACGGTGCTGCAATTGGCGCGATACCATGCCCTGATGTTCATCACTCGGCCACTGTTGCTGCGGAATTATGGCCAGATCTGGACGGATCGCGAGGCCAGCTACGTTCAATATCTTCATGTATGCCTGATGGCAGCGAAGGACACAGTTGAGCTTATCACCACCTTTGCCCGAGACAACCAGCTTTTTCCAGCGTTTTGGTATTCACAGTATATAGCCTTCAACGCCTTGTCCATTATCTACATCTATTTGATCCAAGTTCAGTGTAACCGAATTCTACCGTTGAGCCAAACCTATGTCGCGACTGAGGCTGGTCTGAATAATGGCCTTGGCTTTGATGAATCGACTCTCTACATCCTGGCGGAGACCGCGCAGTATCATCTGACGCACGCGACGGCTAGGAATGCGCCGTCTTGGAAGTACGGGACCATTCTGCAAAGTCTACGGCGAGAGCTTGAGCGGTTAGGAGCACCGTGCGATCCAGTCCCATTGAATGTATCTCTAAGGCATCAAGGCGAGCCTAAGATAGGCGGCAGGAGCCTGGATAATTCAAACTTAGCAGTCACTATTCCTCCTTCTCACCCTGAGCCTCGCTACCATGAACCCTTTCCGGTTGATACGCAGGCACTTCCATTATTCGATAATTTCACTCTGGATAATGACTTGATCCTTGATTTGTGGTCACAGTTGGATAGTCTACCAATCAGTACGTATTATTTTTTCTAGGCTGAACATTCCTCAAAACTAACAGTGGTCGATATAGCCATGCCGGGATAACCTTAATCCCAAAATTTTGAGCTACTTGATGCGTATATACAAACTATCCAGTCGAATAGTCAAACACAATAATTGTAAAAGACAATGCAGGCCTCTACTATCCAGGTGGGTAAGTTTAGCAAGCTATCGTCCCGTTTCTAAGGCCATATCCTGAGAAATTCCCATCACCATGACCCACAATAAGCTCCCTTCTTCTTAATTTTTTAATATTTACACACCCTATTATATAAAATCGAACTAATCTGGGGACATTTTTTTGCCTATAGTGTCAGACGTTTCGAGGAATGATCCTGAGTCAAGAAGACACCTTTTCTCTCTAAACCTCAGCACAGTTGGTGAACAGGACACATCAAGATCACAGCAGCACGAGAAGTAGATAGTCCAGGTCTATTATAAACGACGGTTCACCGGAAGAAGGTTTGTCTATAATTCGATCCTGGGCTACCAATATACACCAAGCCCTATTTACAGAAGAAGCAAAATTGCGTTGCAATACCCGATTAACCATTTGCGATTGTCTAGAAGATGTATTTGTAGCGTATTTGGCCATCTTCCTCCTCCGCCTTTCGCGCGTTAGTGTTCAGCCAGTGGAGGTAAACAGCCAACAGAATTGAAAAACAAACGCCTCCTGCCGCAAAGCTAGAAAGAATAATGCCGCCCGGCCGATACTGCGGCGCGTCCTTGGTTGGGAAGAAATACGACCCATAGATATTGGACGAGTTACCAAAGAAATTGACCATGGCGTAAACAATGGCTCTCTTCGTTCGGGTACGTGGAATAGTACTGGCGATCCAGGCTTGGACCACGTTGAAGGCGCTGTAGGACCCCATGCACATAAGGAACATGCCAATATACCGGACCGCTGTGGCTTGGGAGCTGATGACCATCACGTTGCCCACAATATCAATGCAGAGCGGCCATACTATGAGAACGGCTCGGCAATTCGTCCGGTTGGCAATAAGGGAATTTCCAAGAGCACTGAGAAAGCCAAAGACATACACTGGCGCTGTGATAAGCAGTGTAACGATCTTCCCGAAACCGAGGGTTTCCACGATGCTCTAGAGACCATTAATCAGCAGAGGCTTGGTGACAACTAAGCGATGGCAGGACTCACCGGGAAGAAATATGTCCAGGTTTGGGATGTCAGCTGGCAAATCTGGATAAGGACCAATGCCCAGACTTTCGGATCAGTCACCGCATCCTTCAATCCTTGCTTGATGGAGCCATTCTCATCGACCTCGTTATTTGTTGCGACAGCCAGGCGCCACTCAGCAAAACGCTGCTCTTGTTCCGTTAACCACTTTCGCTGGCCGGAACGAGGAAAGTCAGGGAGTAAAACGACTGCCAGCATTCCAGCCACCATCGTGCCAGCGCCTTCGATAATGAAGAGCCACCTGAACAAAGGATAGTGAGTCAATGGAACCACGTCTTGTCATGACATATTGTGCTTACCTCCACCCGGCGAGACCACCTTTGCCATTCAGTCCACTGAGAATACCAGCGGCCAACATGCCTCCAAATCCATTTGCCACGGTATTTCCACAGTACACAATGGCAACACGTACTGCAATCTCAGAGGCCTTGTACCATGAACTCATTAACAACCTGAAAATCACATGTAAGCAAGAGGGGGGAATAAAAACCGCCATCTGACAGGAATGGACATACAAAGCTCCAGGGAAAAAAGGTGATTCAGCAAAGCCTAGAAAGATTCGTACGCATAAAATTCCAGCATAGTTCTTTGTTGCTGCCATGCAGATGGAGATCCCACCCCAAACAAATATGGCGGCAGGGATATAGCGCGACGGCTTGACACGGGTGAGGATAATGTTGCTTGGAACTTGGCCGAGAAGATAGCCGACGAACTGTTCACGTCGAAACGAGTTAGTCATGACAGGAAGACAGAGTATGTATCTACCTCTTACCATTAAGGCCACAGCTGTCTGGTACTGGTTGTCAGAAAGGCCCAGGTCTTCTTGTAACCCTCCCAAGCGGGCATTGGCAATGTTTGATCGGTCAAGAATGTTAAAGATAAACAGCAAGAACAGAGCCGGGATCAGGTGAAGATCGATCTTGCGCACCACTGTTTTTAATCAGTACTGTTAAATAAGATCTGACGGAACATTCTCACATCTTTTTTCCAACTTGGAAGTTTCCTCGTCCGAAAGACCCTCGAATTGGATAACTCCAGGGCTTAGTGGCTTAGTGGTGGTCTCTACATGGGAAGAACATGATTTCGAATCTATATCTGCCATGGTGAATTAATCTTCCTCCCCCGTCTCGTCTGTGGCTTGGTTACAGGGGGTATTGTGTAGTTGAACGGAATGTGAAGGACTTAAAGAGGGAGCAGAGTATAAAGGACAAGAAGTACGTCCTTCTAAAGCGACCGCTTAGGATTGATATATGAAAGTTTTCTCCGCATACACTCCCCCACACGCCCCCAAACTCCAAATAAACCCCAGACTTGTGACAGGCTCGACTCAAATGGTAGTAGGAGACGGGAAAGGGTCGGGTACAGACTATCTTCTCTTAGAACCATCTCAATGTGGACAAATGGCATTGGACGACGACTCGGGGACTACGGAGAGACTCCGAACCTACTCAACAAGCCTGGCCAAGAATACATCGTTGAGGATCGGCTACAGCTGTGAAAGCTTTTAGCCATCAAGCTTCGACAGATTCTGCTTGGCTGAGAGCAGCTGCACGAAACAAGCCGGGTAGAGTTTTAGCCGTGCTGTTGCCGAAGACCTCCTAGATCCTCCTGTCATCATGAGGAACTGCACTGTGGTTAGCTCAACTATATCCGGTTATCATGCAGCGGACGAAAATATCTCGTTCGGAGAAATATATCGTCATAGACGTAGGTGACTTTTCCGCTATTCTTTTCCGCTTATCTTGTCGGAAGGCGGAATTCTCCACTTCCCCAGTTGGGAACCCTGGGGGATTAAAGATGTCTGGGGATTGAATACTTTAACTGCTTGAGTATTTATCAACCTCACGATTTTCAATTCTGTACATTGGCTTACGACTTCTCTCCCCTTCTCTCTTCACAGCACACCCCCGTCCTACAATGTCGCTTTCTACACACTTCACGCTCAACACCGGAGCCAAAATCCCTGCGGTAGGGTTTGGCACATGGCAGGCCAAACCTCTCGAGGTCGAGAATGCCGTAGAGGTGGCGCTTAAGCAAGGATATCGACACATTGACTGCGCTGCTATTTATCGCAATGAAACAGAAGTTGGCAACGGAATTCGCAAGTCTGGGGTCGCTCGGGAGGAAATCTTCATTACCGGAAAGCTCTGGAATACGAAACATGCGCCAGAGGATGTGGAGGCCGCTTTAGACAAGACGCTCAAGGATCTTGGTGTTAGCTATCTTGACTTATATCTGATGCACTGGCCCTGGTAAGATGCTGCTGTCCCAATGATGAAGCCTGTAATGAACTTCTCGAATTCTAACAGGATATAGTGCTTTCAAACCCGGTGACAAGTGGTTTCCTCTAAACGAAGATGGCGTGTTCGAGTTAGCAGATGTCGACTACATCACCACCTACAAAGCCATGGAGAAATTGCTATCGACAGGCAAGGTCTGCGCCATTGGTGTATCCAACTTCAACGTTCGTCGCTTGGAGGAACTCCTCAGCCAGGTTTCCGTTGTTCCTGCCGCCAATCAGATCGAAGCTCATCCTTACCTGCAACAACCGGAGCTTCTGCGCTTCTGCCAAGAAAAGAAGATTATTGTGGAGGCTTACTCGCCGCTGGGCAATAACCAGACTGGAGAGCCCCGTACGGTCGATGACCCGTTGGTGCACAGCATTGCCGGAGAACTTAGCATGGACCCTGGTCCACTGTTGGCTAGCTGGGGGGTCCAACGTGGCACTGTGGTCCTGTCCAAGAGCGTCACGCCGTCTCGTATTGCGGCCAATCTCCAAGTGAAGCAGTTACCCGAAGATGCATTCGCCCGTCTTTCTTCCCTCGAACGCCACAAGCGCTTCAACTTCCCCGCTTTCTGGGGCTACGATATCTTCGAAGAGGTGGGCGAGGAGGCTGTCCGCAACGCGGCACTAGAGGCGGGTCCTGTGAATAAGACCAAGTTCACTGTATAAACGGAGCGTGGTGATATTAGGTGTTTCCTTCATTGATATCCACCGGCTTGGATGTTTCTAGTCTTGGTTATCAGTCTGACATTTATTAGTCATGTTCAGACATGTACACGAAAATGAATAGAATGAATGACAATAAATAGAGCTAAGTGAAACATTTGGACAAAGCACTGTAAATGGAGATCAAAGAGCTACCCAATAATGCCAATTATATACACGCTGACTATACACTGTACAACTATTAGCTTTACCAACCACCGGGTCCTCCAGGTCCTCCGCCGGGGCCATCTGGTCCACCTGGTCCACCTGGTGGCCCATCAGGACCACAGCAATCGCCGCAGAAGCAGCAGCAGCAGCAGCAACTATTCGCAGTCTCATTAGTCTTCTGCGGCAGGTAACAGATTGAAGGGGTGGGTTCCTCACTCGTCATCAGGCCCACCTCCACCGCGCAACTGTAATTGCATATCTTCCGTGGGCGTCTGTTATTAAAAGGCCGTCAGTTACACATGATCGTACTCCGTATATCGGTTTATACTCGTCCAGCAAACGTACGGGTTGATTGGTGACAACGTTATCGGTTGTTGGGGCGGCTGGACTTTGGGGTTGAGTCATGGTCAAAGTTTTCGGATCCCATGTATGTTGACCATTCTCCTCTGAGCCCACTGTTTTTGATGTGCCAAACCAACTGAAGAGACCTTGGCCGAACATGATGCTCTCTGTTTGTGATTGTAGTTGTATTGGCTGTTCCTTTGTTCCTGGCGCTGCAGCAGGGGAAGTGGTCGGTCTTAAAAAGTCGCCGTAAAGCACACTCCACTATCGATTATCGCCGATGGATAAAGTCTTAGTCTAGGCAACTGCTTATTGTATTGCGAGACGTGAGACGACGTAATTTGGTAGCTGAAGCTTTCCCCACTATGTGGATCAAAAGCTTCTTCGAACTTACGTATACCTCGAGCTGTAGGGCTCGGACGAGATCCGGTGTTATCCCATTTGACCTATTGTCAAAAAAGACATCAAAAAACGAAAAACAGAGAAAAGGGGGTGTAGGAGGTGAATTGAAAGAACAAAGGAAGAAATGCTGGCACTATCTGAATGCCAAAACGTAGCTGTGCAGGCTGGTCGTTGGCAACGCAAAGCTACAAATTCGCGCAAAGGAACTACGCGATGATACAGATTTACGCTAACGCTACCAACGTTAGCCACAGTTCTAGAAGCCAATAGCTTGACCATAGGCTTGTGGCGTCAGGGCCAATGGAGACACTCAAAGTCTTCAAGACTAATGCACTATCGCACTCCAGCGAGGATTCGTAGCGCAACTAGATAGCATATACCCCTTCGCCACGGAATATTGGTGGAGGCCACAACAGAACTAGAGAGCATAGTAGCAGCACTAGTTTACACATCGGAAATAGAATGCATCTATTGCACACTAGCAAAGTGATCGAACTCATCACCGAAATTTCAAGGGGAAAAAAAGACAGAGATCGGCTGAACTTGATAAAGAAAAAGCGCGTATCTCCGAGACTAGCCAATTATGGTAATGGAGCAAAAGTTTCCCGCTGAATAAGCAAAACCCACGAATCACGGTGCCCAGAACAACCACCAGCCCCCATAGGGCTTGGCAGATTCAATTGTGGCGTCCCGCTAAAGAAAGGAGAAAGACGGGGAATACCCGGTATAGGAATAACTATCTAGTAGTAGTAGACCAGTTGAATGTAGTCGGATTCGAAGATCAATGTAGCAATCGTATAAGGATGGATAACGGAGAGTTTCTAGGCATCATAACACCTACTTGAGTACGTTTAGTATATCCCTTTGATACTAATTGCACTAGGAAATATATATCGTTACAGAGTCCAAGAGTGACGACTGCATCATCATCCCATTCAACTATCTGAAAAGGTCCGGACGCTCAAGACGTTCTCGAAGGGTATTTTATAGTGTTATTTCTGGTTGACAAAGACTTTCTCCAAATCAAACCCTAGGTTGCAGAGCCGGCATATTGCAACTTTGCTTTGCAAGCTCGGCAGCCAGATGGCGTTTTATTGAACACCACGTAGTACAGACGTCTAAATGCTTTTATATAGCTTAAGTGAATGACTGATAATAGCATTTGAGACTGTGTTTGACCCCAAATGAACCAACCCATAGCAGGATTTAATAGGTTGATATGATTTAAGCCAAGAGTTACTCATGCTCATACTACGGAGCTCGGCTGTTAGCCAAGAGAAATTTATCTAAGACCTTAGGAAAAGCGAAACCCAGGTTAGCCATTTTCGGATTATCTTTAAGTCAGCGGATTCCCTGCAAACTAAAACGAGGAGTTTTCCCCGCGGTTATCTTGTCACGAGTCATACAATTGCCGGCCTGAAGACGGAGATAAACTCGAATGATAGCAAGCAAAGAGCCGTGGACAATCTTTCATATTTCGGTGGTGGGGGTTGGCGGATGATACTGTGTGGGGATTTCCGCCTGGACGCGGAAATGAGGCGGAAAAGCAGCGACCCCAAAGTCGACGGAGTATACGGGGTACTCCAACAAGATTATGCAACGATCCTCGTGAGCTTCCTGTCGGAGCACCTGGAGAGGCCCCGCATTTTTAACCATTTCGTCAGACGTGGGATGTCCAGTGGTGTTTCAGACTGTGGGGTGGGCGGAATTGTCTCCAAGCTATAAACCTCTAAGGCTGCACAACTGCAAACACAGCGAGACCGAAATAGATAGACAACTAAGTTACCAGCTTACCATGGCTTGCACAGCGCCATTATTGCCGATATTATCCTCACCGGCTACGTCGGGGGCTGCATCGGCTTCCCCGGAAGTCTCATCCCCGGCAACGTCAAACGACGAGTACGAGGAACCTGAACGAGAAATCTACACAATCCATGACCTCCTGCTCACGCGAGCCAATGGAAAAGCAGCCGATGAACCTATTGTCGCATACCCTTCCAAGGACATCGATTATGTATACTACACTCCTCGTCAGGTACGCACCCACACCCTATCCCCTCCCTATTTTTGAGTCACCAGAGAAACCAGTCAACCCAATACTGACCTGAGATCACAGTTACATGACTATGTGGAGGCTGCAGCTATTCACTATGCGGAGATAATTCCCCAACGTCGGTCATCAGAGGATCCTGTGCAGGTGGTGGGCTTACTTGGCCCTTCTGATTTTGAATACCTCATCACATTGATGGCCATTTCGAGACTGGGGCACACGGTACTGTTGCTTTCGACGCGCATCGCTGAGGATGCCTATGTCAGCTTGGTCGACGCCACCAAAGCCTCCTTTCTCATCGCTCAGGACGGTTTCAAGGCTATGGCGGACAGCGTAAGCAGCAGGACGGGTGTGATCGTGCAGCCGGTGTTAAAGCGCGAGGACTATGACAGCCCCACCACCGGCAAGCTGGTCCTTGAGGCGAGCGAATATGATGGACCGACGGAGGCAAAGAATGTGTGCTGGATCATTCATTCAAGCGGTTCAACAGGACACCCTAAGCCGATCTATCAGACGCATGCTGGTGCATTGAAAAATTACGCCAATAACTTCGGTCTCAAGGGATTTATTACGCTGCCCCTCTTTCATGCCCATGGCATTAGCTGCCTTTTCCGAGCAATTCACTCGCAGAAGCTAATTTACATGTACAATGCGAAGCTACCACTGACGGCCTCTTGCTTATTATCCACGCTGCAGGGACATTCTGATATTCAAGTTCTCTATGCCGTCCCATACGCCTTGAAACTTCTTTCCGAATCAGAACAGGGCCTCGAATCCTTGGCACGGATGGAGCTGGTCATGTTTGGTGGCTCGTCTTGTCCCAAGCCAATTGGTGACACGCTTGTGAAGAATGGCACATTACTGGTCTCCCATTATGGAACCACGGAAACGGGACAGCTGATGACATCCTTCCGGGAGCGCTCCGATTTGGATTGGGATTATGTTCGACCGGGGCCCTCCTTGCTGCCATATATCCGGTGGGAAGAGCGGTTCCCTGGGATCTACGAACTCTCGGTCCTGGAGGGTTGGCCATCGAAGGTGGCGAGCAACCGCCCTGATGGATCCTATGCGACCAAGGATCTATTTGAGAAGCATCCAACCAAGCCCAATGCCTGGCGTTACTACGCTCGCCTGGATGATACACTTGTGCTGGAGAATGGCGAAAAGGCTAACCCTCTCATCATCGAGGGCGTGGCTCGTAACCATCCGGACGTGGGCGAGGCGATTGCTTTTGGTGCCAACAAGGATCGCCTAGGATTATTCCTCGTCCGCGCAGCCAATACTGTGAACAAGACTGACGAAGAGGTCATTGATGCCGTCTTTCCGGCCATCGAAAAGTGCAATGCGGACTCTCCCTCCTATGCTCATATCTCGCGTGATATGATTCAAGTACTCCCTTCCAGTACAGTATATCGCGCAACCGACAAGGGAACCGTTATCCGCTCTGCATTCTATCGCGACTTCCAAGAGCAGATTGAACAGGTCTATGAGCAGGGCGATGCGACGGGTGATCAAGTCTTGGAGGGAATCGAGTTGAATACGTTTCTCCGGGAAAGCTTGCTGGAAGTGGCCCCAACGGTCAGTTCTGCTGTGTTGGAGGATACCACCGACGTATTCAGTCTTGGTGTCGACAGCTTACAGTCGATTCGCTTACGCAAAATAATCACCAAGACGCTGAACATCGGCGGTCTCAGACTATCCCAAAACTTCGTCTTTGAACACCCTTCTATTCAACGCATGGCAGACGAAATCACCCGACTCCGTCTAGGCCTCGACGCTGGCAAACAGATCCCCATCGAGGAACAGATGTCGCAGCTGATTGACAAATACAGCAACGATTTCAAGGCGCATATTCCAGTACCGCAAGCGATCAATGGAGAGCGTATTGCTGTGACTGGGGCCACGGGCTCGCTGGGTGCTCACCTCGTTGCGCAGCTGGTTCAGATGGAACAGGTTCATACCGTGTTCTGCCTGGTTCGGGCAAATTCTGCGCACTCTGCCCTTCGCCGAGTGCGCCAAAGTCTTTATGACCGGGGTTTGCTATACAATTTAAGTCCCGCAGATGAACGCAAAATTGTTGCTTTGCCCGCACAACTCTCCAACGCATCTCGCCTCGGGTTGGATGAACCCACTTACACGCAGTTGACTCAGTCACTGACTGCAGTGATTCACTGTGCTTGGTCCGTCAACTTCAACTGGTCTCTGGGCAGCTTCGAGGATAGTTGTATTGCTGCGACCCGCCATCTGCTCGACCTCTGTCTAGATGCCCAGGCACCTATGCCCGCAAAGTTCTCTTTCTGCTCGTCTGTGAGCACAGTGGCTCGGACCCCAGGCCACTGGGTACCGGAAGAGTTGCCTGCGTCCTTGTCATACGCCCAGGGCATGGGCTACGCGCAGTCAAAGCTCGTGACAGAACACATCGTCAACCGCGCCGCGCAACACACTAACATCGCTGCCCGAGTCTTACGTGTGGGTCAAATTGTTGCGGATACCGTCCATGGCATCTGGAATGCTACAGAGGCTATTCCGATGATCCTCCAGACGGCCAAGACCATCAAAGCTCTTCCTGAACTAGACGATATTCTTTCCTGGACCCCTGTTGATGTCATCGCAAACAGCGTCGTTGAACTTGCGCTGGGAACGGACGTAGCGGACATCGTCAACCTGACCAATCCCACCCTCAGTCATTGGACTCGCGACCTGCTTC